GGTTAGGGTGGGTTGGCCGTGCTAAATTGTCCCATAGTGCCCAGGGATGTGCAGGTTAGGGTGGGTTGGCCACTGTTGGGGGGGGGTAATGCGGGGTTACAGGGTTAGGGTAGGGGGGGATGGGTCTGGGTGTGGGATGCTCTCTGGAGGGTTTGATGTGGACTCGATGGGCCGAATGGCCTGCTGCCGCAATGCAGCAACTCTATAGGAATTAATGGGAGGGGAGTGAGAATGTGGAATTGACTACCGCGGGAAATGTGGTTGAGGCCTAGTGTGTTTTTGGGAAGGAAGGAGAATGACAGGGATCAAGGGCTAGGCTAGAATAGGGTACTGGGCTTGCTGCCCTCCCAGAGAGTAGGCTGGAAGGGCTGAACCACCTACTATCGTTCAGATTTCTGTGAATCTCAGAAGACCAGGGCCCACTATCCGCAACAAAAACAGAAGTTGCCAGAGAAACTCAGCAGGTCTGGGAGCATCTGTTGAAGGAAAGCGATCGGAGTTAACGTTTCGGGCCGGGTGACCCTTCCTCAGATCCCGAGGAAAGGTCACCGGAACCGAAACGTTAAACTCCGATTGTTTTTTTTTTCCTTCATCACAGATGCTGCAGGACCTGCGGAGTTTTTCTGGCAACTTCTGTTCCTGTTCCTGATTTGGAGAAACCGCAGTTCTTTCGGGTTTTTTTAAAAATTTTGCCGAATGTCCAGATCCTCCTCGTCGCCTCTGAAACAGCGTCCGTCCTATCAGTGGGACATCTGACCGTAAACGGGCTCCGTTTCAGCACGAAAGCCCCTTCTCGTTAGAGCAGCAAGTGGCTTTCCCCGTACCTGGTCAATGGGGAGGGGTTGGCGGGGGGGGGGGGGGGGGGGCGCGGGTGTGGGGTTTATTGCTGGGCTGGGTTAATCTTGAACGCCAGGTTCAGATCGGAATTGGCGTGGGTTCAAACCCCTGTTGTGGCAGTTGGCGGAATCTGAATTCTATAAAGACCTGGAATAAAAGTTAAACAAAAAGAAACAAGAGTCAGAGCATGTTATTAAATTTAAAAAAAGACGTTCAGTCCATTAATATCATGACCTGTGAATTAAAGTAGGCCGCTTGGCCCATCGATCTGCTGTTCAATGAGGCCATGGGCTGACCCCATATTTCCCTCCTCAACTCTGCATTGCCCTAGTAATTATTGAGTTGGGATCTTGTGGCATGGTGGTAGTGTCCCTGCCTCTGAGCTGGGAGGCCCTGGTTCGAGTCCCTACCTGCTCCAGAGTGATGTCAGGCTGAATAGCACCTTATTCTTTTTTCTTTATTCATTCACGCGATGAGGGCGTCGCTGGCCAGGCCAGCATTTATTGCCCATCCCTAATTGCCCAGAGGGCAGTTCAGAGTCAAGCACATTACTGTGGGTCTGGAGTCACATGTAGGCCAGACCAGGTAAGGATGGTAGTTTCCTTCCCTAAAGGGACATTAGTGAACCAGGTGGGTTTTTCCAACAATTGAGAATGGATTCATGGTCATCGTTAGATTCTTAATTCCAGATATTTACTGGATTCAAATTCCACCATCTGCCGTGGCAGGACTCGAGCCGGGATCCCCAGCTAAAAACTGAAAGAACTGCGGATGCTGTGAATCAGGAACAAAAACGGAAGTTGCTGGAAAAGCTCAGCAGGTCTGGCAGCATCTGTGAAGGAGAAAACAGAGCTAACGTTTCGGGTCCGGTGACCCTTCCTCAGATGATTACCTGGATCTCTGGGGTAACAGGGCCATCACCTAATCTTACTATCTTAAAAGGAGGTGGCTTCATCTGGAGCGCGTTATCTCTCTGTGCGATGCCATTTCCATTTAGCCCCTCTGTCGTTTCCTTCACTATATACCCACGTTTGATTAAATCGGTGCTGGCTGGGTGTGAAAAATACAGAAGGGGGAGCTGAGTTAGTCCCCAGTGAGGACAGTCCGAGAAAAGGGGGAGCGGAGGGGAAAGTCGTTTGTGAACGCCTTTGTATAATTCTGAAAATATTATGCCGCGCGCCAGTTCAGCAGGTGGATACTGGTCTGTTAAAGCTGCGCAGCGTGACAACAATCCCATGATATTACACGGTACCACATTAACACGAGCCGAGCTGTGCAAGTAACTCGAAACGTGGCACTTAAAGCAGGTTGGAATCGTACGCTTCACTCCTGCACCATCTGCAATTATTTAGCTGCGTGTTTCGCTGCTCAGTCCCAGCACGTGACATTCTTATGGGATAATATCGAGCAGGAAACATCCCAAAGTGTTTTTAGAAGCTATTAATTAATTCTATTTTGTTGTTCTCCAGAGCCCGCTCCTATTCTCCCCAGAACACACTGAAAGTTTTTGGAGACAGACGGGGTGCCTGAACAGGTTTAATGTCTGCACCAGGTATGTCACGTTTGGGTTTGGAAAGTGGGCACGTGCCTCAGCTCAGGGTCAATCTCATGTGCGACTCGTCACTGATTGACATTCAGCACAAAGCTCCCTCGACACTGTCTCCCCCCCCCCATCAAACACCCCCCCAGGGACAGGGACAGCACGGGGTTAGATACAGAGTAAAGCTCCCTCTACACTGTCCCCATTAAACACCCCCACTACAGGGACAGCACGGGGTTAGATACAGAGTAAAGCTCTCTCTACACTATCCCCCATCAAACACTCCCAGGACAGGGACAGCATGGGGTTAGATACAGAGTAAAGCTCCCTCTACACTGTCCCCCCCATCGAATACTCCCCAGGACAGGGACAGCATGGGGTTAGATACAGAGTAAAGCTCTCTCTACACTGTCCCCCATCAAACACTCCCAGGACAGGGACAGCACGGGTTTAGATACAGAGTAAAGCTCCCTCTACATCCTACTTTCTCTGTTTTGTTTTATTTCAGGTTACCCGGTCGGGCTGACCCCTTACCCCCCTCCCCAGACCCCCCCATACCCCATGCCTCAGTATGGCTACGGCCCTGCCCCTGGACCCCCAGGGCCTGGCTTCCTGGGGCACGACGCCCCTTCCCCCGGCTTCCTGGCCCACCCGCAGCCCAATGTGCCCCCTCACCCTGTCAGCCCGCCGGCCCCCTATGGCCCCCCGGGGATGCACGCCCCGCCTGCGGGATCCCATCGCAGGAACCCTGAGGACGACCCTGGCATTGTCCACAGCCCTTTGATCGCAGGGTCCGGGGTTAACCGCGAGCTGGAATACCTGGCACAGGTAAGGCCTGGGCACCGGGCGGGCATTGTGTTTGACGTGGATGTGCTAGGGTCTAGGAGCAGGCCATTCAGGCCCTCGAGTCTGCATGCCATCCAGTACAATGGTGGCTGATCTCATCTGCACTTTCCTGCTGGCTCCCACCGCGCTCTGGGGAACTGCATTCCCAGACTCACAATCCTTTTTTGAGAAGTAATTCCCACCTCGTTTCTGTTTTAAATCAGCCGACCCTTATTCTGAAACTATCACTTCTCATTCGGGATTTACACGCCTGAAGAAAAATCCTCTCCGCGTCTGCTTTACACCCAGCCACACTCTCTTACATTAACCAGCTCCTACAGGAGGGCTACCGGTTCATAAAATATTCCAGATAACCAGGACACATGATCAGTGTAGAAACATGCACTGCGTTAGCAGAAATGCAGTGCTGGGGGTATGCGCGTCCCCCAGTCCCCCACTAAATCAACTGACTAGATTCATAGAGCTGAACAGCACGGAAACAGACCCTTCAGCCCAACCCGTCCGTGCTGACCAGATATCCCAAATTAACCCAGCCCCATCTGCCAGCATTTGGCCCATATCCCTCTAAACCTTTCCTATTCATGTACCCATCCAGATGACTTTTATATATTATAATTGTACCAGCTTCCACCACCTCCTCTGGCAGCTCATTCCTTACACACACCACCCTCTGTGTGAAAACGTTGCCCCTCAGGTCCCTTTTAAATCTTTCCCCTCTCACCTAAAGCTCCAGTTTTGGACTCCCCTACCCCTGGGATACTCAGATATCACAGTGTTTGAGGAGAAATTGACTTGAAATTGAATCATCTGTCGATATTTTGTTTGGCCATTCAAGGTAATCCAATTTTTAAAATGATTGGACAGAATAGCTCAGTAAACATTGCGGTATTTGAGGTATATAATTTTTGCCATTTCACGAGGTGCTGGTTAAAATAAAGTTTGCTGTACCTCAATGTGATCTCCCCTCAAACGTCTAAACTCCAGAGAGTATAAGCCTGAACTGCTCCATCTCTCCTCATAAGACGAACCCTTCTATCTCTGCAATCAATCGTGTGAATCTCCCATGAACTGTTTCCAATATAACTACATCCCCCCTCAAGTAAGGGAGCCAAAACTGTACACAGTACTCTGGGTGCAGCTCACTAATACACTGTCCTGTAACAGCATCATTCAGCCTGACTTTTATACTCTATTCCTCCAGCAATAAATGCCAAGTTTTCATTTGACTTTCTGCTGTAGCTGCATTCTGGTTTTCTGCGATTCTTGGAACAGAGACAGGAACTGAGAGGAAGGATAAATTTGTAAGAAATCCCACAGAATTAAACATACTTTTAAGGTGCGAGGAGAAAGATTTAAAGAAGACATGAGGAGCAATTATTTTACACTGAGTGTGGAGTGAACTTCCAGGGGAAGTGGTGGATTCAGGTTCAGTTACAATGTTTAAAAGACATTTGGATAAGTTCATGAGTAAGAAAGGTTTGGAGGGATATGGGCCAGGAGCAGGATGGTGGGACTAGTTTAGTTTGGGGATTATAGTCGGCATGGACTGAAGGGACACTAAGATGAGTGTTAGAGCGAAGTGTGCAGGGAGCACTGAAAGTGTGCAGAGGGATATAGATAGGTTAAGTGAGTGGGCAAGGGTCTGGCAGATGGAGTACAATGTTGGTAAATGTGACGTCATCCATTTTGGTTGGAATAACAGTAAAAATGGAGTATTATTTAAACAGTGAAAAACTGCAGCACGCTGCTGTGCAGAGGGACCTGGGTGTCCTT